AGAGGTCACGCAAAAAAAAAAAACTTTTTGCCCTACTCACGTCTATTTGCTTTACTTGCTCTTAACAATGATGTTTACACTACTCATGAAAATTTTATCATACTGAGTTACTTTCCTTGCTGATAAACTTTGTAACCGAGATAACAGGAACTTATCTAACTAGTAAAGCCCAGTTAGAAAACATTGCTTCTCTGCATTATATTTAAAGCCGATAACTCTAAAGACAGACCTATTTTAAAGTAATAGATTTAAAATGGCTTTTATTCGTTAGAGACTGTCTTAGATCACACAAACTCCCCAAAATATTTGAGTTTCTGAGAGTTTAGAATGTCTCATCCTTAGAAACGTTTGTCTTCAATTAATCTTAATTTACGAAATTAATTTTAACAATACCATCCGGAGGGAGAAAAATCTCTCACATTCACAACACACACAGATTGACCCAGAGAGCTTTTTGCCACGGGACAGGTGGAATAATGCAAAACCCACTGTGTGCAAAACACCAGCTGGTTCCGAACTGTTTTATTCTGGCAGGTGGAGTAAATTAAGATTAGCTGCCTATACGGCCGACGCTGTTTGTCATTAATATTTGCGGACGACACGATCTCACGGCGCCGATGTCTGGATTTGGGGTGAGGGCGCTTCTTTATCCGTCTGTACTTTTTAAAACCTTTTCCATTCCCTGCTTCAGTCTTAGGCCTAGAGGATGGTGGAGACAGGTGGGCTTCGAACTGCGTCCAGGCCCCTCGATGGTTTCTCGATGACCGATAAGGCGAGGACGACCGGTCTTCATTTCTCATGGTATCATAGGTTAAGTTCTTCAGCTACGTCGTTCTTCATTTGCTTTTCCCGCCTCTGGGTACACAGTTTTATTGAGCGTAGGAGGACTTAACAACAGATTCCTATCGGGCTCTTAAATCTTCAGCTTCCGATTCGGCCGAATTTCTGATCAAGAAGTTAGTAAACCCTTTCGAATGTCACGTCAGGCTTCGGCTGGGACACACGGTAAATGCTTCTGGCAGTATTAAACAATTCCATGGACCCAACGGGGTACAGAGGTCATTATCCTCCGTTCATCCCCTCTGACGGCCTGCATGTCGCGGGGGGCAGGGGCGCGTCCCCCAGCACGATGTGGGGACTCCTCGCACAATACGACCAGGTCGGGGAGTTGCAGCCGGTGCGGAACACGGCAATGTGCCCCGAAGCGTTCTCCTTCACCCCGTCAGCTCTCGCACTGGGACCCGTCCCCTCTTGTTGGGACCCTGGGGACAGGTCTCGGGAGGACAGCGCCGGGTAGCGGAAGTGTTCCCGGCCAGACATGCTGCTCGTTCCTGTTACACAGACAGACTTCTGCACTGCAGCCTGTTGCGCCAATTTTCCATGACGTTATCAATCCTTACATTTCTGTTCTTTTCATCTACCGTAATCTGAGTCGAGGCTTCGCCAAGGGGTTTTGGGGCCACGGTTCATGAATGCCCATATCAAGGAGGCCCGGGAATCTGTCTCTTCTGTCCCCTGACCATGTTGTCCACTCCTGAGTCAAAAGGATTTGGGTCCCCAAAGAGGGGTCACCCTTAAAGGACCCCGCTTATCAACCTTTCTCTGATTGAACTGACCATGTGACGGCTGGTCAGGCTTCCACTGGAACATCTGCCGTCCAGTCTTTTAAATTTCTCCCCGCTGGGGTGGAGACTTGTTGGGGGCTCATTTTGTGGGACAAACAGGGGCCACTTTGTCCCAACCGGTCTGTGGCCGCCCTGTACTGCAAGCTTCGTCTTAACCCCATCCATGTCTGTTTTTATTTATGCCATTTTTTATAACCATCTCACGCCGCTGGAACGAGGCCTGGGACTTTTGCTTGGCTTCACCCCTATCGACACTGTAAAAGTCGGTACTGTGTTCTGTTTATTTATTTTTGAAGCTCTCGCTTTCTAACCGTACGTTTAAATGATCTGACTCCTCGTCACTGCTGCTGGGATCCGAGGTTACCGTTCCCTCGTGGGACCTGAGCTGTGTATGGGGTTCGGCCCGCGTTTCCGGCCGGCCGTGTTTTGGGGCTGCCAGCCCGACAGTGACCAAGCAGGGTTCATAGGGCATCGGGTTTGTAATTTGTCCTCTGTGAGGGTTTGTCACTCTTTTTTCTTTCCTTTTTTTCTTTAAGGGCAGGACGATTGTCCTTCCCATGTCTGCAAATGTCTCTCTTCTTACTTCTCGGGGTGTGACTGAGGGAGGGAGCTCGGGGTGCCAGGCCTGGGCCCCACAACGGGCCGGCTCGGTGACAGAGCAGCCGGGGGACCCCCCAACACGTGGCCCTCCGACCAGCTGCACCAGCCACGCCTCTGACCGGGGACCCTGCTCTGCTTTCTAACACGTCCCCCGCGACTCCCCGCGACCCCACGCCGGGCGATGCGGAGGACAGCCGGTCTGACCCAGGCTGAAGGGCGAGGGGTCCGCGGACTCGGGGACGAGCAGGGTGCTGTGGCCACCCCGGTCGGCATGCTCGCGTGGGGGGCACCCGCTCCAGGTCAGACCCTGGCCGTGGACCGCTGGCCGTGGAAGATGGACCTTCACGAAAGGTTCTGTTTGGCTGTTTTTTGTTTTTATTTTTAAGGTTTAGGGTTCTGCGGGAAGTCGGATGATCTCGCGCCTTCTCATCGCAAAGCTTCTTCCGGAAAAAGGCGCCCCCTGGTGGCACTTCCTTCCCCGACCCCCGCAGGCCAGCGGGCCCAGCGCTGAAGGAACTGGCCGCCCCATACCTGCCAGTGCCCAGGTCAGCCCCAGCGAGCGCGGCCACGCCGTCACCGGCTGGCCCGGTGGGTGGCTTCGAGGCCACTTCCGCCAGAACCTGCAACGGAGGGCTGTCTGCAAGGTCGCTTTAGCAGCCGGGGCGAGGCCGGCCAAGAACAAGGCCACGCGGCGGGGCAGATGGAAGCGCCCGGTGGGCGAGGCGTGACGCGGGCGCCACCTCCGGAGCCATCGCCACGGCAACGCGCGCCACCTCCCAGGTCCCCAGCACCCCGGCCCGGTCACCCGCCGTGCGTTCTGTCGCTGTGGATGGGCGCGCCCCAGACCTTACGCGGGGCCGCAGGCGGGGCCCCCCTTCCGCCCGCTCCTCGCTGGGACCGGGCCTGCCCTGTTTTGGGTTTACCGGCAGCGCCCGCCATGAGCTTGTTTTCCCCGGGCACCTGCTGACGGGTCCGCGTGTGGTTTTAGTTTGGGGGGCGGGATGAGGTGCTGTGAGCGACAGCACAGTCCTTGTGAGGCCACGTCCCCCCCGGGCTGGGGCCGGCGGGACCACCAGCTCAGCGTACGTTTCTTAGAGAAGCTGCCGAGCTCGTTCCGGGCGGTCACTCCATCCACGGCCCCGCAGCTCAGAGGGGTCCTCCGCTTCTCCCGCTGCTCCCCGGGCCCGCTGGTCCGAGGTGGGGCCCAGACCCGGCCCCGCACTCGCTGGCCGTGTGACTCTGGGGCAGGTGCCGGGCTCTGCACCTCGGATCTCCCGGGGGAGCCGTTTCTCATGGGGGGGTCCTGGACCCCGGGGGCGGGCGACCTGCGGGGCCTTGTGAAAGGAGAAACGCTGAGTCGCGAACGCGGAAGTGACCCCGCGGCGGTCTCTGGGTGACACGCCCCAGCCTTGACCCCGCAGGCCCCCACCTCCCACGGAGAAGCGCCCGGGGCCCAAGCTCTGCGTCCCCCGCTCCTGTCACAGGCCGTGTGGCAGCCACACCGACTCGCCGCACGTCAGCCCATCAGGACAGCGGCTTAGGAAATCGGTTCCGACCGCGGGGTCAGTGTGCGCCCAGGTGGTGTGGTACGGGAGAGGGCGACGCTGCCCGCGGGCCGCTCAGGCCCTGGTGCCAGTGCACGTTCTCTGCCCGCTGCCCACGGCCCAGTCCTGCTTCCCTGTCCAGTGGGTCGGCGGCCAGCCAGGACAGGGCTCCCGGCCCCAAGGGCTGGGACAGGCCCGCGGACTCAGGGCTGGGTCGGCGAGCAGGGAGCTCAGGGCTCAGGCCTCTACAGGAGCCCAGCTGCCTCCCGAGGGGGCCGGGGGCTCAGCAGCCTCACCTGCGTGAAGCGCCGGTGGCCTCCAGGTGGGAACACAGGATGGAGGCGAACGCAACGCTCACGCGGCCCAAACCTGAAATGCTGGGCTTGGAACTGGCCCTGCCCCCACTGGACCTTGGGGTGCTGACCGGCACTTTGAGGAACCCTGCTCTGTGACCTCGTTTCCTGTTCTCGGGCCGGGTGGGGGTGCCGAGCTACATGAAAAACCGTGTACGAGGCAGTCGGCACGTAGAGAACCCCGGAGCCCGTAGCCGTGTCCCTGAGACCCGGCAAGCACTGGTCAGCCAGGTCCCCCAGGGCCGAGCGCCTGGTCAATGCGGGGACCTCAGGGCTCGTCTGGGCCATGCCGCCGGCTCCTGGCCAGCGACCTGCCACTCACCTCTGAAATCAAGGGGCAGGGAATGCCTGGACTTCGGGGTGAACCGGCCAGGTTGGAGCTGGAGGTGAAGCCGACGTGCTGGGTGGAGCCCACTGGCCCTTCCTGTGCTCAGCCCCGGCCCTGCACTGCTGAGCCTGAAGCCGACCCCGCCCTGGTCGCCGCCCTCACGACCTGCCAGCAGGTGGCAGTGCCACAGTAATGGGCGCATGTCTGACCACATGGGCCACACAGACCAGCAGGAGCGGATGTGTCCCAGGGTCCAGCACCCCGGGGCGCTGCGAGGGCATGGTGGCGTCAGGCCGGCTGGGGGACGGGGGCCGTTTGACCGCTGCGAGCTTTGGAAAGCTCGCCTGGATGTGCACGAACGCTTGGGCCGCCCCCTGCTGGCTGGGGGCGACTTGAGGCCGAGAAGCCAGGGAAGCCAGGGGACCGTCATGTGAGACAGGGCTGGGGCTACCACGCCGCAGCTGGGGGAGACTGGAGAGGGGCCCGGGCCACACACCCCCTCCGGACAGGGCTGCGTGATTCCAGGACTAGGCAAAATCCAAACCGCTCGTTCATTTTTTTAAATCAAACACTTTATTTCCACATAACAAGCGCAAAAAACCCCAAACACGTTAACGATACAATTAACGCAGCGATGAAGTCGGTCACACACTACTCAGAGCCCCAGAAGGTCGATCGGCGCAGCGGTCCACACATTTCCAGGCGTGGTTTTTCAAAGCTACCTTTGGTTTTTGGAAAAACCAGCATGGACGTCAATGCACCTCGAGCGCACAGAGCGCCGGCTCACGCCCGGCCAGTCGGAGCGTGGTGTAGGCCGCGGGCGGAGACGTCCGCACAGGTGCCGCCCGGGGCGCCGGCTGTGCAGGGTGGGGCGCCGCCCGTCCCGTACGGGGTGAGTCTAGCACGAGAACACTGTCGGGAAGCGGCGCTCCGCGTCCCTCGCGTCCCTCGCTGAGGCTTGAGATGGGCACAGATGGTGGGAAGATGAGTCGCGGAAGCTCTGGGCGACGAGACCCCAGAGGCGCTCCCAGAGGAGCAGCTAGTTTCCCATCGTTCTCACATTATTTCAGGGTGAAACTGTAGGTGAGTTCAGACAAAATGTTCAAATATTTGCTTAGACTTTTACTTGGTTGCTCTGAGAACCTCATACGCAGCAACTTGGAAACGTCCATCATAAAAAAGGGCGTACAAATAAACCCACGAGAGAGAGACAACGCTGAGCAGCCAAAAAGTCGCGGTTTATTATGTCTGAAGGGATTTCATGATTCAAACACAACCGAACTGTACATGGTACAATCACATTCTATTTGTAAACAGTTAAAAGCCACTGACTTCCTGTGCATCGTAGGACACGAACAGTTAGAATCAAGGCAATGAAATGATGGCGAGTTCTGTAGTTAAGATTTTTACCCTTGCTTAGTCTCTCCTTTGACTAACAAGCATTATAATACCATTTGTGGGCAAGAGGAGGGGGGAGGAGAGAAAGGAAGTTTAAAAATGGTGTAACTCGTTAGTTCGCAACGACATTTAAAATTCTCTCTAAACGACGAACAGGTCTGTAAGCCAACGCCTCGCTTACAGTATGCATAGTTACTGGTTTCGGCTTTAAGGTACGTGAACACGGCCACAAGAGCAGACGGGGGGAGGGCCACGTGATGGGATTACAAAAATTGTTACCTACTGCTGACTAGCAAACCATCATCACTCACTAATAAAAAGACAGCATCTGAAAGCAGAATGTCAAACTCCAGCTTGAAGCGTTTTTTTGTGTTTTTTTTTTTGGCAGAGAAAATTCTTTAACAGAGCAATATGTAGTATCAGTGCTAACAGTGGGGGGTTTTCTTTCTTTCCTGTAAGAAACGACAAGGAGTTTTTTAAACTGGGGAACTGGTTTTCCTGAGAGCCATGCTCTTTGATTCAGGGCGGGAATAGAAAAACAAAGAACACGGCCAAACGCTGCTCTTTTTCCCAGAGATAGAAAGCATCTTTTAAATCATCCTCCATTTTTTTTTTTTTGTCTTTTAGATTTTTTTTTTTTAAATGATGGAAGAGTAAACATTTTTTTTCTCAAAAACAAACAAAAAAAAATCTGTAAACAAGAAGGCTCGCCGAGGGAACCTCCAAAACAAAATGGAAAGCCTATTCAAAGTGCGGGGCCCGTCCTGGGTGGCAGGTGGGCTGCAAGTCACAGCTGTGGCCACAGTTTTTCAAACTGCAGAGCGAAATTCTTTAGTTTTATAACATGGAAAAGTGGTGCAATACTTTCATGTACAGTCGGGGGTCAGCACCCCGATCGGCCGTCCGAGCCCCCGGCAGCATGGCGGGCGGGCGGGCGTCAGGCGTGTCGAGGATGCTCAGCTCGAGTCAACGGCGCATGGGGACGGCCGCCCCACGGTGCCGACCGGCCGAGAGCATCGTTCAGTGCAAAGGTAAAAGCTCAGACATTGTCAGCCCAAAAATGGTTTGCAAAAAAAGAAAGGGGGGGGCGGCGGCTAGGGAAAAAGGACCCGAAGGCTGAACATGATGGGTGCACGGGGCGCTCAGCACGCGGGGCGCTGCTGGGGAGTGTGGACAGATGCCTTCACATTATAATATCGGCCTGCATGATTCAAGTATTCAAACTGATATGTTTTGGGGAAAACAAAGTGGAAAATGTGCAGAGAAGAGCTGTTCCCACAGGTGGCCCCGGCTGCAGGCGGCGAGCCCGACTTTGTGCCCCTGCCCTTCGCGTCTTGAGGTCACGGCGTGAGTCTACGTCGACCCGTCACATGGACTCCCCACCCCCGCCCAGGTGGTCGACAGAGAGAAAAGCGTTGATGGGGGAGGGGTCGCTGCTGCTCGGAGGGCCCCACAGGCTCGCGGAGTAGTGCGGGCCCCCCCAGAGGGAAGCGCCGGGAAGGTCTCCACAGCTGGTCCCCGACAGCCCAGCACCGTTCCAGTGGCTGGAGAAGGGGTGGGAGCAGTCGAGGGGGCCCAGCCGGCTCTGGCCGGAGCCCAGGGACTGCCAGCTGGGGGCGGGGGCCAGGGACTGACTTTGTGCAAAGAAACGGCTGATCTCCTCCTCACTGGCGAACTCGGCGAGGATCGTGGTGTTCCCCAGCACACACCTGGGGGATGAGGGGCAGCGGTGAGGGCGCGGTGCCCTGCGGAGCGGGGCTGACTGAGCGGGAGGGGCGTGCGGGGCGTGCGGGGCAGGCACTCACATGTGCAGCGACTTCTGTGCCTTCACCACCTCCTCCTTGGAGCCGTAGCGGACCAGCGCGTTGCCGTGCGGCAGGCTCAGGTGGAAGGTGACCAGCGGGCCGTGCTGCATGCACAGCGTGCGCAGAGTCGAGCCGTCGATCTGGGGGCGCAGCGGGCTGCTGG